ACTACTACTACTACAACTACTTAGGATCTGGTTCATGATTAGAAGAAAGGTAGTGGTGTTGTTGTTGTTATTATTACTTCTGCACGCAGAGCACTGAATATACTATTGAATGGTGGGAAGGAGGCTGCAATACTCCAATTACCAATTTGGGCAAATAACATCAACACTATGAATAATATTGTTATGAAGTTAATCAAATGAGGGAGAGCAAAATCGAAGGTCTGAAAAAAAGGAAAGAGACATGTCGAACAACAACAACAACAACCATGAGGAAGAAGAAGTGATAATATCTACTATTATCCGCATTAATTTATAATAAGGTTATTGTGGTACTATATATTATTATCTGTATTACTTTATAACTAGGCCTTCGTGACGATCGATCCGATTAATGAATTTGACATAGGTCCCCGGTTCGATCCCCAGGTTGGACATTTTTCCGTCATTAAAAATGTTCGTGCATATTTCTTCGAGCTGTTCGCATAATCGATTTTTCCCAAAACTTCCGCATATAGAAGAGTCGTTCGACCTATCTGATATCCTCCCACGTTTCGTAGTTAAGGCAGAATAATTCCACACGCACGCACGCACGCACGCACGCACAATGCGAAAGTGCCTGTTGTTGTGGTATATACTCCGCTCGCTTCGCTCGCTCCGCGATTATTGTAAATTTTTGTATTACCATTTCAAGAAGTGCTATCCTCGGATGAGCATGTATTATCTGTAAGAGCCTCCAACCACATATACCCATACCTATCATTGTACCTACTACTATATTGTACTACTACTAGTACCATCATCAACATTTCAGCAACAGCAGCACTACTCAGTGACTTACATGTATTTACTATAAAGTAAGCTGTACTCATATTATACAGCCGCTCTGTTGTATCATAGTATACCTACCATATTAATAATTAGAATAATGATAATAATAACGACGATCTCAAGTGAATGACGATAGGATGAACTGAAAGAATAAGTGAGATAGCAAGCTATGAGAGATAATACAAATAGAGGATAATTGTTGTAGGGTAGTAGTAGTAGGGATGCACACACTATTACTACAAATAGAGGATAATTGTTGTAGGGTAGTAGTAGTAGGGATGCACACACTATTACTACAAATAGAGGATAATTGTTGTAGGGTAGTAGTAGTAGGGATGCACACACTATTACTACAAATAGAGGATAGTTGTTGTAGGGTAGTAGTAGTAGGGATGCACACACTATTACTACAAATAGAGGATAGTTGTTGTAGGGTAGTAGTAGTAGGGATGCACACACTATTACTACAAATAGAGGATAGTTGTTGTAGGGTAGTAGTAGTAGGGATGCACACACTATTACTACAAATAGAGGATAGTTGTTGTAGGGTAGTAGTAGTAGGGATGCACACACTATTACTACAAATAGAGGATAGTTGTTGTAGGGTAGTAGTAGTAGGGATGCACACACTATTACTACAAATAGAGGATAATTGTTGTAGGGTAGTAGTAGTAGGGATGCACACACTATTACTACAAATAGAGGATAATTGTTGTAGGGTAGTAGTAGTAGGGATGCACACACTATTACTACAAATAGAGGATAATTGTTGTAGGGTAGTAGTAGTAGGGATGCACACACTATTACTACAAATAGAGGATAATTGTTGTAGGGTAGTAGTAGTAGGGATGCACACACTATTACTACAAATAGAGGATAATTGTTGTAGGGTAGTAGTAGTAGGGATGCACACACTATTACTACAAATAGAGGATAATTGTTGTAGGGTAGTAGTAGTAGGGATGCACACACTATTACTACAAATAGAGGATAATTGTTGTAGGGTAGTAGTAGTAGTAGTAGGGATGCACACACTATTACTACAAATAGTGTGTGCAAATGTGGTATTAGAGCAGTTAATTGAGTTGAAAGGGAATATGGAAGACGATAATGATAATAGGATAACATGACTCATTGTCGTAATACTTGTATGAAGTCCTGATAGTACTCCTCTCCTCCTCCTCCTCCTCCTCCTCCTCCTTCGTGGGGTATACCAATGATATTATTCTCCTCGTATGTGCTGTTGTTGTTGATATTATTAGTATATAATAGAGAATCCATCACATTATCATATCTTATAACCACCGTATGTAGTATAACTCTCGATACTATAATACACAGGAATACCTGACATACTCATCATCATTAGTATGAGAAGGAGAGTAGAATGATGAGTAATATACTCACCAACGTAAACATAATGGGCCTCCATCTCCTATTCCTGCTATTATTATCATCCTCATTCTTATGGTTCTCTTCCATCTAAGGAAAAGACAGTTGATATTAGGTCTACCATTAGAAGAAGAAGAAGACAGTTGATATTAGGTCTACCAT